CTAACGACCACAATCACGGCCAGGCCATTGACGAAGAACTCCCACGAGTCCATCATGGCCTGCGGCAGGGTGATGTCAATGGACAGAATGTCGCTGGAGAAGCGATTGAGTATGCGGCCCGAGGTTGCCAGCGTGAAGAACTGCATGCTGGCGCGTATGATGCCGTTGAAGAGGGCGTTGTGAAGGCGCAGGGAGATGCGCAGGGACATCATGAAGAAGCCAAAGGTGCGCACCATGTACAGAATCAGGGTGCTCACTATGAGCACGGCATAGAGGATGACCATGCGCATGCGAATCGCGCGCCGTTCGATTTTTGGCTCCGTTTCGTCCGGCTGGGTTTCCTCCCAGGTGGCCCTGTAAATTGGGTAGATGATGACTCAACTTGTCTTACAAATCGTAGTTTACACATACCACTTGGACAGAGAGATGTCCATGGTGGCCTCAAAGCCGCGCGCCAGCAGAAAGAGGAAGAATATGAGGCAGACCACGAAGGGGAGGCCGAGAACGGCGTAATATTGCTTGTAGGAGCTGAGCTTGACGGAGCCCTGGTGCTGCTGCTCCTTGTGGAGCTGCTCGTGCTCGTCCAGCTGCAGCTGGAGCTGCTGCTGGGTGAGCTGCTCGTGTGGCGGCACCTCCTCATAGATGCTATCGGCACGAACGGCGCGCAGTCTGGCCACCTCGTTGTCGTTGACCACGGACATGCGAAAGTGTATGAGCTTCTTGAGCGACTCGTAGCGACCCTGAATGGTGGCGCGTCCGCTCTCCATGAGCACCATGTGATCGGCATTGCGCAACAGGGACACACAGTGCGTAACCAGAATCCGTATTTTGTCGCTGAGGAACTCGTTTAGGCAATGCTGCAGGAGCAGTCGGCCGACATGCGTGTCCACGGCAGAGAGCGGATCGTCCAGCAGATAGATATCGGCTTTGCGATAAACAGCTCGGGCCAGGCTAACTCTGGCCTTCTGGCCGCCACTCAGACTGGCGCCAGACTCACCCACAATGGTGGCGTCGCCATGCGGCAGCTGATCAATGTCCTTGTCCAGCAGGCAGACCCGCAGCACATCCTTGTACCGCTGATCGTCGTACGGCTCCATGAAGATGATGTTCTCGCGCAGGCTGCAGCGATTCAGCCAGGGCTCCTGCGGCGCATAGCTGATGACTCCATTCAGCTCCACGCTGCCGCTGACGATGTCCAGCTCGCCCAGCAGAGCGGCCAGCAGGGTGCTCTTGCCGGAGCCGACGGTGCCCACAATGCCAACGAACTGCTGCTCCTCCACCTGAAAGCTAATGTTCTCGATGTGCCGCTGGCGCTTCTCCTGCCCGGGCGGATCCCAACTGGCCGTCAGCTCGTGCAGTGTGACGCTCTTGCGCATGGCTCGCGGATTGTGCATGCGTCCGAAGTAGTTGCCGTGCTGCAGGTCGTCGTCGACATCGTTGAAGTTCGCTACGCCACCGTCGGCGGGATCCTCCTGCTGCAGCAGAAAGTCCAACAGTCGGCGGGCAACGACATGCGTCTCCGCCCAGGAGTTAATGGCCATGGGCCACGCATGCAGCAGCGACTGATTGAGATGGTCATAATAGCTGGACACTATGAACACCTTCTGGGCGGTGACCACGTCGCCAGTGAAGACATAAGCGACCAGGCACAGAAAGAGTGAGAGCTTCGAGATCATGTCGGTGCACTGCAGCGCCGCATAGACGTACATGGAGCCACGGATGGCGCCCATCTCTTTTTTGCGCACGCGCGCTATGAGCTTGCCGAAGGACTTCTCCCAGGCGTACATTTTGATCACCTGCATCGCTGAAATGATCTCGTTCATCAGCTTGACGCGCTCGTCGCCGTATTCCGCCGAGAGGCGCTTGAAGCGCGCCGTCGCCTTGGCCGCCCACACCTGCAGCGGGATGAAGAGTATGATGGTGGCGATGCCCACCAAGGCAGGCCAGCCAATCACCTGGTAGATGATGTAGCCAAAGATCAGGCCCTCCAATGGGCCCTTCCACAGCTCGTGAAAGTAGTAGAACGTCTCATTGAACTGGGGCAGGTCGGTGGCCATGATGGCGATAGCGTAGCCGCTCATGCCGCTGTTATCGGCCGCCACGGAGACGCGCAGGCACTTCCGGTAGACGAGGCCGGCGCAGGCCAGGCGTATGCGAGCGCCCAGCTCGAACAAATAGAACATGAAGGGATGATAGCACAGAGCTTTGATGAGCGAGCAGAGGACCACGCCCGTTGCGTACAAGTAGGCCGACTCCATGGACTCGTTGTCGTTGCCCTCCGAGAAGAAGGACACGAGCCTGCCCAGCAGCAGAGGTTGCATGGTGCTAAACGAGGATAGCTGTGAGGAACGGCGACATATGTATGTATATCCCATTGGGCTTCGACTTACTGCAATGATATCTCCAACAGAGAGTAGAGAATGCAGATGGGCACAAAGCTCGTGCCATACGCCTTGAAGATCATGTGCAGCACATTCGGCTGCGGGCGCTTTAGCTCGCGTTCCCAGTAGCCCAGCAGAGAGTGCGACACCGCCGTGCTGTCCAGACTGGGAATGTGCGCATACAAGTCCTTGGGATCGATCGACTTGCCATGGCCCTTACGCAGAATCTCACGTGACCAGCTGACAAAAACAAAATGCAGATATCAGATAAGGATGGAGTTGGGCTGTCTGTTATGTCACGAGTCACGAGAGCGCGACTGGAAAATACCCTATAATCCGTTAATGCCACTGTTTTTGAGAATGCATTCTTGAATGAATACAAACTTTGCCTGAGATGGCAGATAAGATATACGAATATTTATGATGAACTGTATCTGGAATATCTATTAGATTACGCAAGTATAATAAATAATTAAATACACATTTCTTGGATGTATATTTATAGAGAGAGAGAGAGAGAGAGAGAGAGAGAAAGAAAGAAATATCAGAATTTCAGAATATGTGCAGTGTCATACCAAATGTGGCGAATGCTTTAAGCTAACCACATTATGATGGTCAGACGTCTATTTTAGGAAAACCCAGGGAGTTGTTGCAAATATATATTTAGTTAACATAATCTTTATATGGCATACAACAAGTCTGATGACAAATTTGGTGTCGTCAGACTTTAAATTGTCTGGAACTGTTGAATGCGGCTTAATGGAGCCAGCCAACATTCTAAAATGGGAGTTCATATTCCTTAAAGAACACTATATGTATGTATGTGTTATAATCAGTAAAACGAAGGCGTGGCTTTTACGATGATGGTGTAGAATATTTTCGTAGAAACTGCGGCAAGTTCTGCATACAAATTGACAGGCAAGCGTTACGACACTGTCATAAATCTGTAAGCGATTTGCTTTACTTCAATCTTTATCTTATCAACTTGACAGGCAGCAGCAGACGGCAGGCAGCAGGAGTTGATCGCGCCTAACATGATTTGATTCTGTAAAAGTTGTCCATACGAAATTTGAGGCACTGCGCGTATACGTAATACAATCTTGCAATGTCTGACACATCGCTGAATATATATGATCAAATAAACATTTGTTCATGGCAATTCGACAGAGATTCAGAGATCGCGCACTCACATAAAAAACCACTTGGATAGAAAATTGGCCTTCAGCACTGGATTTGGTTTGCGTGGCTCCTTAGTCGCGCACATTGTGTGGCATAAGCTTCAACTAAATCACTATCTATGTATATGTATATAGAAAATATATACATATATTACTTATATCACACGAGTATATTTCTATACATATTAAAGAGCGCACAGATCCTTTCGCGCGTGTGGCCGTCGCCTTTGCCGTTTCACTCGTAACTGATAGGGCGTGTGTGAAAGGCATTTGATTTTTAACTGAATGTTGCGCTACGTTCGCGAATCATCGGTATAAATCAATGATCCGAGCTGCCCTATCGCACCACTTGGTGGCAGTTTTATCTTAATGCCGCCTGACAGCGAACCATCAGTCGCACTGCAGTCGCAACCACAGCTCGCGACGCGCGTTACGAAAACATGGCCAGAGTGCCATAGTTTAGGTTAACAGCTGGATACACCTAGCTATGAGTAATATACACTTCAAATACCCTGTACACGGTTTAAATTTCTTAAATTGTGATTACGCAATCGTAGAACTGTGTGAAAAATGAACGGAAAAATATATTTGATTTTAATACAGATCGATATAGCTAATCTTTGTGCATATCCAAATGAAAAGTACTTATCTTTACAGAGTTTTCCATAGTAAAATATAATATATACACGTATGAAGAAGCCTCAACTTTTTTTATATACTTTATTTACAGGGTATCTATCAGTCGAGTACTCTGTACACTTGAACTTTAGCTGTCCACTTTAACCAGATATTTCCAACATATTTTACTACACTTTTTAAGTGTTGACAATTTTGATTAAAGCCCTTTCCGCTTAATAGCAAGAATTTTTTAATAAGTTTTTTTTTTTATCTGTTTGCTTCAGATCCGCGATATATATTGACCGTTTTATGACTAATATAAATATCAGCTAATAGCAGTTAAGGCATAGAATTTTAATTTATTGTTTGGTGTAATCATTCTCAGGCACTTTATTGTTTACATATATACATACATAAGTACAATGTCATTACTAGACTATATAGTATCTAGATTAGGTGTATACAGTAGATGTATAAAAAAAATAGCAGTAGATATAGTTTGATTTAAGTTGCATTTTGATTTGTGCAAATTGCTTTCGAGTTTTTATAGTTTTGTGAAGACATAGCGGAGGTATGTATACATGCACATTAGACATGTCTAACGAAAGTGTTGCATTCATAAATTCTTCATTCGAAATTTAAGTAACAAGTTAACAATATAATCACGCTTACATACATAAATTTATGTACACACTTATATACGGAGTAGGGGCTTTGACAATTACAAGTACAATACAGAAATTAAAGTTAAGTACAACATTTCGATGTACGCTCATAATACTTTCAGTTCCCAATGCTATACATCTTAAATAAGTTTCGCGCTTTTGTTGCTTTGTGAGTTATTATTGCGCTAATCGTTGTGCTCGTGCATCGCTGCCGTGATATTCAGATCATCGGCAGATATTCGCCCATCCAATAGCCGTTTGCTATAGCTCTCTTCCGCCGCCTGCATTAGCGCATTCGCCATCGATGTACCCGTATTGTTCACTAACTGACGCAAATAGCCGTCGGGCCGTTGCAGTAGCTCATAGGCATGGCCGAGCTCTCGCACCTCGCCTGCATCCATGACCAGGACCCGGTCCGAGTCCATAACCGTGTGCAGTCGATGGGCAATCGTCAGCACTGTACAGTTGGCAAACTTGGAGCGGATCGTTTGCTGAATCAGCTTGTCGGTTCTGCAAAATACATATGGAACACAATTACAAGAATGGACGGGAAAAGAATTCAATTCAACACGTACTCTGGATCAACATTGGCCGTAGCCTCATCCAATATCAGTATCCGGTTGTTACGGAGTATGGCTCGTGCCAGGCACACAAGCTGCCGCTGACCCACGCTGAAATTGGAGCCACCGTCGTACATGCGACAATTGAGACCACCAATGAGCGTGGATACATAGGAACGTAGCTCTACATCGCCCAGAGCCTTCCACATCTCTTCATCTGTGCGTTCATTCATCGGATCTAGATTGTAGCGCAGTGTTCCAGAAAATAGCACAGGATCCTGCGGTATTATAGAGATACGACTGCGCAAATCATGCAAGCCTATATGCTCAATATCGACATCATCTATGCGAATCATGCCCTCGTTGCAGGCCAAGCGGAATATTGACTGTATAATGGAGGATTTGCCAGCACCGGTGCGTCCCACAATACCAATCTTCTCTCGCGATTCAATGGTAAAGTTCAGATCCCGCAGCACAGGCTCCTCCTTTGGTGCATAGCGCAACTTAAAGTTAATGAACTCAATACGACCTTTGCTAGGCCATTCGGTCTTCGGTTTGAATTTCTCAGCTGTCTCCAATGGCGCCTCCAATGGCTGTTCCGTATACTCTAGCACACGCTCCACGCTGGTCATCTCGTTCTCCAGCTGTGCAGTTTGCCGCATACCCCACTGGCACATGCCTGTCATGGTGGTGCTGTGCAATATCGCCAACCCGACATCTCCGCTGTTAAACTCGTTGCGCAGCAGCAGAAAACTAAATGTGACGGCTGTTATATAGCCAATGCACAACAGGTCCGACCACAAAGCAAAGGCGCGTGTGCAGGAGAGGAAGAGAAACCAGGCGGAGGTATTGGCATTCTGATACTCGTGAAACTCGCTCTCCAGCGCGCTCTGTGCCTGCAGAGCGCGTACCGTGGTTAGACCTTGAAACGTTTGATTTGTCAGCGAGTAGATGGGACTGCGAGCTGCAAAAGAAACGAAGTCTTATGTTTCACATTAGCTAAACTAAAGGAAATTACTGGACTTACATATGCCCTCCAGTCGCTTGACGCTGCGACTCGTGTTCACATAAAGGTAACGTATGCAGCCTAGAAGGACGACAATCACAGCAGCGGGCACGAGCAGCCAATAATTTGCAATGGCTACAATGACCAGCACGCCGGAGACATCAATGGCAAACTGCAAATATGGAAGGGCTCGTTAGTTCATCAATAAATAACGTATTTGATAATAAACAAATAATTACAGCCAGACAATCCAACAGCGTGTGCGGCAGATCCGTATCCACAGTACGTATGTCCTTGGAGAAACGATTCAAAATGCGGCCAGAGGAGTTCGTATTAAAAAAGTACATAGTGGCGCGTGTGATTCCACGGAAGAGGCGATCGTGCAGGCGCAGAGAAATGCGCAAACACATCCTAAAGTAGCCAAAGGTGCGCATCAGGTAAACAATTAATGTGGCGGACAGAATCACGGCATAGAATACGACAAGCTCCTGGCGAACGTCACTCTCAATGTCCGCAGTTGCTGTCGGTACGGCACTGATCACTGTATCATTAACAGAACCCTCTGTGGTGGCATCCAGTGTGCCATTGACAGCTGCTGGCACAGCAAGTGAGCTGCCATTTAAAGCAATCTTTTCCTCCCAAATTACCCTATACGAAAGGAATATATGATTAATGAATAGTTCACTGTTTTCAGGTTTCTTCAAACTCACCAGCGGGAGAGGAAGTAGTCCACACCCGTGAGCATGATCCTCGAGCAAACGAAGAGCACCACAATCAAGCTGAAGAAAAATGTGCTCTCTAGGGCCTTGAAGTACGAAGCGTACACGCTGAACTTCACCGCGCCCACACACTGCTGCTCCTGGTTGATCTCCTCCACGGTTTCATCGGGCCGCAGCAACGTATTATGATGCTCCATGCTTTTCTCTGAATCACTGCGCGACATGTGACTATGAATGCTGTCCGTGTCGATCCCGCTCTCATCGTGAGAGCGTGCCTGCTCCAGGAACTGAAATTGGCGCGAACGCTGCAGCTCCTGATAGCTGCCCTGCGCTACAACCTTGCCGGAGGACATCAGCAGCAGGTGCTCCACATCGAACAAATACTGCAGCTGATGTGTGACCAATATGCGTATCTTGTTGGACAGAAAGTCGCGTATGCACTTGTCAAAGATGTGCTTGCCGACGTGCGTGTCGACGGCAGACAGCGGATCGTCCAGCAGATAGATATCAGCCTTGCGGTAGACAGCCCGTGCTAGACTCACGCGCGCCTTCTGACCACCACTGAGACTGACTCCGCGCTCACCCACCACAGTTAGATCACCCTTTGGCATTAGCTCCAGATCCCGTTCCAAGGCACACGCCTTGATCACCTTCTTGTAGCGCCGCTCATTGTAGTCCTCAACAAAGACAATGTTATCGCGTATTGTGCCCTCAAAGACCCAGGGCTCCTGTGCAGCATATGAGATCTTGCCATGCACCGATGCCTCGCCTTGATCAATGCCCACTTCGCCGAGCAGCACATGAAGGAGACTCGACTTGCCGGCGCCGACCGGGCCAACCACAGCAGTCAATGTGTGATCCTGAATGTCCGTACTGAAGTTATCGATGGCGCAGTTGGCATGGCCATCACTTGAGTCCCAAGAAGCAGAAACGTTCTTCAAGACCACGCACTTGTGTGGCGCATCTGGGCTATAGTCGCGCAGCCGACTGTGCTGCGTCTGTGTCATCTGCGGCTGACCGTTGATCAGCAGCGTGCCATTTACCTCCACATTCTTCAGTTTGTCCTCTCGCGTTACCTTGCGCTTGTTCTTGGGCCCCTTGGCATCCGACTCCAGTTTGATGGGCACCTCGGCCTTGTCGCCATCCAGCAGAAATTCCTTGCAGCGTTGCGCCGAGACCAGTGCTTCCGCTATGAACGTGATGGATAGAGGCCAAAAGTGCACCATGGAATCGTTGAGCATGTTGAAGTAGGAGGATAACATGTAGACCTTCTTGGCAGTGAGTGCATCGCCCAGGTAAACATATGAGCACAGGGCGAGGAACACAGACAGTGGAGAGATCATCGAGGTGCAGCTGAGAGCGGCATGAATGTAGGCAGTTCCTCGAATGGCGTTCACTTCCTTCAGACGCACCTCGGCAATGACGCGCGCAAAGGACTTCTCCCAGGCATACATCTTGATCACCTGTATGCCCTGTATAATCTCGTTCATTAGCCTCACACGTAAGTCTGTCCGCTCTGCAGTCATCTGCCGGAAGTTGGCTGCCTTTTTGGCAGCCCACGCTTGGAGCGGTATAAAACTGAGCATGAAGGAAACGCCAATGACAGCCGAAATGCCGATCTCGCGGTACATAAGATAGCCAATGAGCAACGATTCCATTGGCCCTTTCCATGTGTCATGCAGAAAGCAGAGGGCCACATCGAAGCGCCCCAGATCGTTGGACAATATATTAATGGCGCGTGCCCGTAGGCCATCATTTCTGTTGCTCTTGGACACCTCCAGGCACTTGCGGTAAATGAGGCCGGACAGTGCCAGACGCAGCTTGGTGCCCACTTGGAATATGTAAAAGATGAACGGGTGGAATGTCAGCACGGGCAGCAGCATGCAGATCACAATGCCGAACGCAAAGTAATAGGCCATTGACTCGGTTATCGTTGTCTGATCCGTGGCAAAATAACCAACCAGACCGCCCAGAAATAAAGGCATTAGGGATCTGTAAATTATAATCAAGGATTAGCTCATTCCAACAACTCCAATCACAGTACATACTTGCAACATGTTTCCAGTATGGAAAAGAGCAATCCCAAGGGCACGAATATGGCGCCATATGCCCGAAATATCATGCGTACGACGCTCGGATCGCTGCGCTTCTTCTCATCCTCCCACAATTCAGTGAACCTGCTCGTCACGCGTTCACTGTCTAAGGTCTTTCTATGTTGGTACAGCTCTTCGTCTGTGAGTGGACCTTCTAGACCCCGTTTGAACAAATCGCGCATCCACCTGAAATCACAAAATCGATAATATTAGATTGTAAAGAGAAATGTTGTTATGTATTACAAGTAAAAAATTAATGCTCTATCTATGCCTATTCGCATTTGTAATGTTGTCAATATCGAGCACCCACTGTACTTTGATAAGAATATAATATACTCTAATTACTAATTACATTTTAGGGTTTCATTAATAATTGTTGTTCGCATTTTGAAGGCCTTACATCCATTTAGTGTATACTTAACTAAGCTTCAAGGGGTTGCTAACGTCCCATGTGGTCTGTGTGACTATACCGATAAGATAGAGACCATTGTATTTTATTTTGCATTTCAACTTATGAATATCCTACAGCCAAACATTGTACTGGGTACACATTAAGTTATATTAAATATTGAAATAAGATTATTACTTTTTTACTGCATATACGATAAGGCAGACTTATACTACATGCTTTACAGTAGCAATTTTTGTACCCATGTATACTAAAATCGGAAGCGATAATGATCATTAGTAAACAAATGTGATAAGTGGATATGGAAAGTAAAAAGATTGATAGTCTGGCAATTGCTGCACATTCATTGTATTTCATATGATAATCTACTCGATTTGCCAATAATATTTATTCAATGCTTTTCTAATAAAAATGTCCCAATGTAATTCTAATCAAAATGAACATATGCGCAACTGTGAGCTGCTCAAATATACATATTGTGTGAATTTTTGTTATATATATTATGTATATACTATGTATATTATTCTAAGGCTCTTATCGCCCCATAGGCATTTTCTTTACTTATATTAATTTAATACATATGTGTGACGAAAAAACTGGCGAATGTCAAAGAGCAATAATCGGACGGTGAATAACCTCTATAAATACAATATAAATAAGCAGCATTAAAAAATTTCAAATTACATCTAAAGCAAACTATACATATGTACAGACATACATATTTTGTTATTATGACTTATTTATTAATAGTGTTGCCCATTTATTTTTACTTTACGTATTTATAGCCAATTCTGACGGTTTTTATTTAACTACAATATTACCTGCCAAAAAAAAGCTAGATTGACAGCACTGCATATTAGTAAGAAATATAAAAACACATACATATGTACATATGTACGTATGCACATACAAAATACATAATGAATGCATTGTGATGATTTTCCATTAACCAAACACTTACAAATGTATGTATGTATGTACATATATGTATATGTATGTATATTTATGAAAGTTGGACTAGCATTGGCAATCCTCAACTGCTGCACAAAAATAGTTTACATAGAAAAAATCTACTTATGCATGCATATGTATATGTATGAACTTTAGCTATACATATATGTATGTACATATTTCACAATGTATCCAGCATCGAGGTCTTGGACATTTGTGTTTGTCTCGATGCAAGTGTCGCAAAGAACAGTTCATTAGAATAAAAACGTCTATATGTTTATACATACAAAATATGTACATTCATATGTACATGCATATGTACATGTACAGCGCCAATTAAAGATTCTAGCACGTGCTATCGGGCTGAGAGGCCACAGTCTGTGAACACCGCACATTTTCCATATACATACATATATACATATGTATAATTTACCGTTAATGACTAACATGTTTGTCTATGTGTTGTGGACAGTGCAAAGGGGGAAGAACAACTACTTGTAACTTACCAAAAGGTCCATCGTGATAATATATTTGCACTTGAGTAGAGATTTTTTGGACGTACAGCCTTCCTTCTGGTGCGGTTCATAATATGGATGGCTTTCTATTAATTTTAGGCACAATTTATCACTTTTGCGTTCACCGTTACGCCACTCAATTACAAGTAAAACGCAAACCAAGCTATCGCTCTCTGCTCTTTGTATGCGGCTGCTTTATTAAAATTTTATGCACGCTCACTGTCACAGCAATATGTATGTATGTATGTACGTATATTGACGAAATGCACTATGTATGTATGTACGAATTATGTGCTTTAACAGTAATGCATATGTTTATGTATGTATGTACAAAATTATGCCGGCAACAACAACATAACCGCTGTAAACTGTCTAGGGTCGAGGCCAGCAGCAATTCTTTTGTGTCCGCTTCTCATATAAAATTAGCCGTTTGCTGCTGTGATTGACCTAGCAACAAACAAAGCAAACGCAGAAGCAAACGCAGAAGCAAACGCAAACACACTGCTACACACACAATCAATCGGGTTGGTTTTTACCGCACAAATATTGCACTTTAAATTTATTATTTGTTGCCGTTTGTAATTAATTAGAATTTACAACAATTACGCGAAGCCAATGTGTAATTGTAATGGACCGATGCACGTCTTCTCGGTCCGACTTCTGAAATGGCAATGGTGAGATTGACGCAAACGATAGAGCAAGAAAACTTTTGAATAAACCTCAGCCAAGATGAGAGAAAGAGAAAAAGAGCAACAATATGTGAGTGAGTGAGTGTGTTGGTGTAAACAGCTGCCCGAGTCGGGTGTTGACAATGCTGAGAGTATCAGTGGTTTCTCTCTATATTCGTAACGCACGACAAGCATTGAGCCACGGGCCATTCGTTTAAATATGCCGAAACAGGTTACTTTCCGACCATTCTATGAGTGGAATGAAATTAAATATAAATTCTATTTAAATTGACAAGTAAATCAAAATTTATTCATTTACTTTCGATTACATTTCAAGCTAAAATCAAATTAACATAAGTTTATTGTAATTATATTATATATAAGTCGATTATAAAAATACAAGTTTATTGTAATTATATTATATATAAATCGATTATGAAAATACTTAAGAAAGAGTAACTTCGCTTCGACGTGATACACATGAATCCTGTTTAGTTTACTCAAATCGGTTTCTCTCGCTCTCTCACGCATACCGACCACGCTCAAACATGTTTATATATGTGTGCGTGTGTATGACGGAATGAAACGGTCTCCGAACTGTAGATAGAGCGAGAAGAACGTATTTGTTTATCAACGACAATTTAAAAATTTGAGCGCCAACAATTTCCAGGCATTGTGAAATGGTTTGGCATACAATTTAAAAAAGCTCGTTTATATCAATAAACATCAAATAGCGGCCGTTGTGAGCTTTAGTATTAAAACGTGTAGAATCGGCAGCTGACAACAGAGATGTTTGAGATAATTCTGATAATGTTTTTCTCATTTCACAACAAAAGAAATGTTTTAGTTGACAATAAAAAATGAGATAAACTTCTTAATGAATGAGTGAAGTAACCAATTTTTTACATCATAAGCGATGAACATTTATTATGAGTAATTATAGATTAGCATTAATTCTCTGTGTAATTTATTTATTATTTTCTTTTTTTTGCATTTTGTTTTGTTTATAGTAAATTTGGTGAAAAATACATTTGTATGCAATATTCAAAAACCAAAACATGATTTACTTAGATGATGACAAACAACATGCCCATTTAATCTTCAATGTATTCGAATGGCTCTGGTGGCTCGGGCTCCTTCTCATCATCGTTCATTGGACCAAATGCGGCGACCGGTTCGACCAGTTCCTGCTCTTCAGACTTGCCCGTGTGCTGGAATACGATGATGCCGCCGATCGTGATATCTTTCATGGGCTCGTAGCTCTGGCCATCGACTAAACTCAAGACTTTCAGTTGTTGACGCAGGGCACGTGCCGGGTTCTGCAAAATTTCGAAATTGGGCTCGGGCTCCTTCTTTTCCTTCTTGTCCTTTTCTTTGTCAGCAGACGCGCTAGTGCTCGCTTCCTTATCCTTTTCATCAATCTTCTTCTCTTTTTCATCCTTCTTCTTGGGCTTGGTCTCCTCCGCCGGTTTGTCTTCAGACTTCACTGCAGTTTCCGATTTCTCATCTTCCTTTTTGCTGCCTGCAGCGGCGCTTTCCTTGCTGTCCTCATCAACATCCATTTTCTCGTCCTCCTTCTTGTCGGCATTCTCGCGGCGTTTCTGTCGGGCTGCAATCGAGAGGACAGCTGTGGCTACCTTCTCGCGCTCCTCGCTCTTCTTTTCCTCCAGCGGAGCCGGGTAGGCGTACAGTGATGGCTTCGCCGCCGATTTGTACTCCATCTTGGGCATCTTCAGATCTGAATTCAGGCCAATTACACAGGTGGGTGTAAAGGCAAGGGACAGGGTGTGCGCCAGCGGGAACCAGTACCAGTACTGGGTGAAAGCCAGCATGCCTACCACAGCCTGCAGATTGGTGTGTCCTGTGCGAGATTGCAGCGAGAGCGTGGCGTTGCGACCGCCAGCATCAATGATACCTGCAAGCAGAGATAAAAAGCAGTCATTTATAAATGCAGCCGACTTTATATGTATATGACGTTCACTCACCCTGTGCTAGGATGGCACCATATTTAGCCATAACATCCTCGTGCTTGTTGCTGATGACCTCAGCATACAGCTGGCGGAAGAAGGTGCTCTTGGGGCAACTTAAGTCTGTGTGTTGTATGAGGATCATAGCGGATGCAATGAGCGCACCCTGACGGACAAAGTTCACAGGATCGAATTTAACCATGGGCTCCAGCAAGGCAATTGCCTCGCGCAGCCCAGTGCCAGCGCAAGCGATACCCAGTGCCATGGCTGCACCATAACGCACATGAGGATTGTATGATTCGGCCAACAAACTAACCACCGACGGGCACTGCTCCGGCGTGCGGAACAAGATGAAACCAATTGCTGTGACAGCGGCGCGACGCACATCGTCGTTGACATCAGAAACGGCCACGTGAAGCAGCTTGCGGATAGCCTTGTTACTACCCGTGCCATTGTAAGCCATAGCCAGGGTGTACATTCCCGAGCGACGTAAGACGGGATCTTTGTCGGTGGAGAGGCTGGTGACAAGGGCATCCGCCTCTTCAAGCCGTGCAAACATGGTCAATGAGATGCCTACGGCTAGGCCGCGCAGAATCTTTTCGTGCTGTGTCTCCTGGGCATAGGACACCATATCCTCAATGGCCTGAGCATTTTTGGAGCCCAGCATAACCATGCCCATAGCGATGCCAGCTGCCTCGCCGGTTACAGCATCGTCCTGATACAAATTGAATTTCAGCTGCTCGTACAGATCCTGGCGATGGGTGCCCATACCGGCCAGGCCTAAGCCAAGGCAGCCACCATGGCGCACATTCTCGTTCTGGGCATCCTTCAGCTGCTGCAGCAGGTAGTCGATAATATTGGCGCCATGATTGGCATGTATCAGACCCAGGGCGTATAAGGCGCCACCCTCGGAGTAGCCAGAGCTGGGACCCGCCTCCTTGGGCAAATAGCTTTGCATCAGTGCCAGCGAATCCTTCTCGTGTCCGCGATGAATGACACCCAACGAGGCGGTTGCTGTTAGCTTCGCCCAGTTCGTGGCACGCGCCAGCCAATCCAGATTGTCGCGCAGGAACTGATCCGACGTGGTGCCGCTGTGCATGAAAGCATTGGCAATGACAGTCGCTGTGTGGCAAATCGAGACGCGCACCGCCTCCTTGGTGCCACGCAATATCTGCAGATCGGCGTGATTGCTGCGTATGAGAAACTGTAGTTGCAAGTCAATAGACACTTCGCCGGAGAGGATGGAAATGAGTTTCTCAATGTTCTTCTGATGCAGCTTCTCCATGTCGTTCAGCGAGTCAATGGTGCGTTCGATCTTGCCATCGCCTGTGAAACAAGAAAAGGAGATTTATAAATAAATGGGAAGCGATTGCAAGTCTGGCATGGAAACTTACCTTCCTTATCGTCAGTGGTCTCCATGCTCTCGTCGCTTTGCGATTTAACCTTCTCATCATCAGATTTGCCAGTGGTATCACTATTTCCAGCTGTTGTGCCTTGGGGTTTGAATGTGCTGGGCAACGCTGTGGGTATGGGAGCTGTGTCCCTCAGTGCCTGGAGTACATTACCCAGAAACTCTTGGGTTGCCGACTCGTACAAATCGAAGGCAATTTGATAGGCCATCAGATTGTTGGCCTCCACCGGAGAGCCAGTCAACTTGTCTAGCATTTCAGCAACGGCTAGCGGATCTTCCAGGAAGATGAGACACTGGCACATGTTCACATAGTCCGGCACGCCCAAGTCTCGATAGAGTCCGACCAGGCAGCGCAGCACCTGATTGCGGAAACCCCGATTCTGCAACAGCGACATGGTCACATTGTAGGCATAGGCCAGCATGCCGCGCACATCGTCCGATTTCATGATGGACACTTCGAAAATGTCCATACGACGCGTTTCCAGCGCAATGCCGAGAGCCTGGCGGTATTGATTGTCGTCCAGACAACGCTGAATCATGCGATTGACAATGCCCTCCAAGCGCTCATCCACGGGCTTCGCCTCCTTTGGATTCTCAATGAAATCAATGCGTTGTGCAATATAGAAATCAATGCACTTGGCAATGATTGTCTCAGTGTACTCGTTGCGGGCATTCACATCGAACAGATCGCCAGCGCCCAGCGCATATGTGAGCGCATCCTCAAACGAGCCCAGATGATAGAATACCTTGGAAGCAACCATGCCAGCCAGCTTGTTCTCCGGGAAGGTCCTGTCCTCGTGCAGCATTTCGATCTTTTCAATCGACTCGGATATTTCAGGCCAGAACTCATCCACAATGTTGTCCAGCTTCTTCAAGGCGAACACCTTGAGATCTGGCATCGGTTCATCAAGTAGGGATATTATCCCCGCGGCGGATGTGAGGCTCATTTTTTGCTTGCGTTGTTTTTAGTCCCCAATAATAAATATGTTCTACGAAAGTGTATGTAACATATGAATAATTTGAATCGAAAAACTGTCTGTTTACAATATAGACAAGTAATTTTTTGTGTGTACTTACCAATGGATTGCAGTTTTTAATGTTACACAGACTTTTCTTTTATGCCGAAAAAACGCTAAATCACCAAACGGTGTAGTGTTGAATAATGTTGGCTTGTGTGTATGAGTGCTGCAAGTCACACATAGTGCGGTGTTGGTAATGAAATTCTTATCAATGAGTGGCAGCCCTATATTCTATTGTCATCGATAGCTATCGATATATAAGTTAATCGCAATTTAGCATCGCAGCAACAAAAACGCGCGAACAAATAGCACAAGCAAGCAAAACACAAAATTCTAGTTTGCTGCGCTGACGCACCTATTTACCGCATATAATTGTAAATAAAACTAAAACTAAATACGAGAGCAACAGAATGATGTTCGAGGACCAACGTATGTCTGTAGATTCAACCACACCAATAAAAGGCGCAGGCAGCTTAAATTCATCCGGCTCATCGATTTCGATGGACATGAAGCCGCTGAACAGTTGGGCCCAAGAGGTTCGCGCCGAGCTGGGACAAAGCGATGAGGTATATATAATGCTTATATACTCTCCAGCTAGTTTGCTGATTAGTTAGTATCTCCTTCAGGCCTCGTCATCTTTTAACAGCAGTGCCGGGAGCACAGCTGCTCAATCAAAACGTGAAATGACTCTGGAATTCCTCGACGGCAGCAATGAGGAGAAGTTTGAGCGTCTAGTCAAGGAAGAGAAATTAAAAACGCCATTTAAGCGTCGACACTCCCTAACGCCGCCCACACTCAGCACTGACAATAGTCGCTCCAACAGTCCAAATAGCAGCGCTTCGTCCGCAACTAATGAAGCTAATCAGCATGCCAAAACGCATCACTTCAAGGGTCACAAGGAAGAGAAGCGTGTGCGCCATAATAGTTACACCTCATCAACATCATCCTCATCCTCGTACACAGAGGCAGATCCGGCCATTTTGTCCCGCCGTCAGAAGCAAATCGACTATGGCAAAAACACAGCTGCCTACGAAAGATATGTGGAGACGGTGCCCAAGAAGGAGCGCACTCGCGAACATCCCAAGACACCAAACAAATTTGGCAAGTACAGCCGTCGGGCGTTTGATGGATTGGTGAAGATCTGGCGCAAGCAGCTGCATGTCTATGATCCGCCCACAGCAAAGGCTTCAAATACCTGCGAAGCTGACTCGGATTCTGACTCAGATTAGAGCTGTTATATTTATATTATGAATAAACATATATTTAGGGATAATTGGGGGGATATTGAAACGATGGTACAAAGTCGGCAAAAGTTAAAATCTCAATTATTGTTTGTATTGAATTAGCCTTAAAAGACTGCTAGGGGCAGCGTATGTTATGTTATGTTAACATATTTTCAAATGTTTAATAAAATGGCGTCGTTTTGATCTTGAAATATTTCGTGAGGCTCTTTATGTATGTCTTCCAAGAAAATGCGAATTGACACATTTCATGGAACTTCCCACTGTCAAAAGGCTCACTCAATCGTGGGAATTTCAATGGGAAGAACCCTGTAATGCAAGGAGCAGTTTCGTTACTTTTAATGTTAACTAACAGCTCTGTTGTGACGTCACATTATAAAAATGAGCACTGTTATTCGATTTGAAACTTGGCGGACTTTTAGATCTGGTAAATGATTCAGAGTTAAGAAATGATTTAGACTAGCACAAAAATGGTCAATCCTTTTTTTGATTTCCTTCCAATCGATATATGTATATATAGGTATATACATACATACAAATGTATGTACATAAAATACCGGCTAAAAGTTGATGGAAAGAATTCACACAAATTGCCATAAACAAAATTGTTTGAATGCAAGTATTAGAATATTGGTAGTTGTTGGTGTTATATGCGAGTCTTTACAAATAAAAGATATCCACAGTACACTACGTACATATATACATACGTACATTTCAGCAACAAGTGTATATACGCACACATTCACATTTACACAGTGAAAAGAGTCAGGCAATAATAAGTCTGAATTCGCAAAGAAAAATTACCGAAAATTTTGCTCTGCTGAGAGCACAGATTTAGTTTATTAGAAAGTTGACGCTTTCTGTGGCATCACTAGTGAAGGGAATTTGTTGCATGCTGTACAAGTTACTTGCGTTTGTTATAATTCGGATATCCATATGTACATATATTCATACATATGTGTACATATCTGCTACATATTCCGCCGTTTGATAGTAGTTTTATATGCATGTATACAAACAACGTCAAACACGCGAAATCAACGAGCGCTTTTTATGGCAACTGTGTGCAGTATGCTTGTGTGTGTGCATATACTATACAGTGGACCCTCGGATAATAAACAAATCGTATAACGCACACATAAAATATCAGAGGAAGAGAAAAATAAGAGAGCCATAATATCCATTAACCATTGAAAAACATAAAAATTGTGTTGTTTCAAATTGAAACGTGTAATAATTGTATTTTTTTTTTAAACCTGGAACGAAATTTGTTCGTTAACCGAAGGTCCACTATACTCGCGCGAGCTATAGATAAGTTGCTCTCTGGTTTTATAGCGGCCGGTGAGTGACTCCCGATGGGGGTCTATAAAAGCCGGTCGTTTACTAAAGCGCTCAGCAGTGTTGCTTGATACTTTGTACAGTGCGCCGGCAATTTTCTACAAATCAAGAAGTAAGTGGTGACCTATGTATATATCTATGTACGGACGTACATAATATACAAGTTAAATACGTACATATGTATGTTCATATATCAAAGTGTGTGTCAATTTGTTTTTGTGAGCCAACAAAAAATACTTGAATTGTGTGGAAAAAAACTAAATGAGAAAAAGAAATACATACATACATAACTATAAGTTATGTCTATGACATCACAGGATTATATACATATGTACATATGTATATGTATATGCATACATACATAGAGCGATTTTTAATTATCATTCGAATGTTTTTTTGCTGTGTTCTTTTGCTGAAATAATGGAGCGCGTCTAATGATCGTTTGTTCTCTGTGCTCTTCTAATTATAGAAAACCAAAATGGATTTCTACTATTTGCCCGGCTCCGCTCCCTGCCGCTCCGTCATCATGGCCGCTAAGGCTGTTGGCGTTGAGCTGAACAAGAAGCTGCTGAATCTGCAGGCTGGCGAGCAACTGAAGCCCGAATTCGTGAAGATCAATCCGCAGCACACGATTCCCACGCTGGTGGACAATGGCTTTGCACTGTGGGAATCGCGAGCCATTCTGGTCTACCTGGTGGAGAAATACGGCAAGACCGATTCGCTCTATCCCAAGTGCCCCAAGAAGCGCGCCCTGATCAACCAGAGATTGTACTTCGACATGGGCACCCTGTACCAGAGTTTTGCCAACTACTACTATCCCCAGCTGTTCGCCAAGGCACCCGCCGATCCCGAGCTATTCAAGAAGATCGAGACTGCCTTCGATTTCCTGAACACTTTCCTGGAGGGCCAGACCTATGTCGCTGGCGACTCACTCACCGTCGCCGACATTGCCATTTTGGCCACCGTGTCCACCTTCGACGTGGCCAAATTCGACATCAGCAAGTACGAGAACGTGAGCAAGTGGTACGAGAACGCCAAGAAGGTGACCCCCGGCTGGGACGAGAACTGGGCCGGTTGCTTGGAGTTCCGTAAATTCTTCGATTAAGCTTCATTCCGTGTCGAGTATTATTATATCCATAATTTATGCATACAACTAACTCATAAAACGATTTGATATCGTCAATTGTAGTGCGCTAATTTTTTGCATCAAGCGAGACCGGTACGAATGATATTTTTGCTTCAAATAAAAGAGTATTCGTTTTGATTGAGTACAATTTAAGAGATACAACTTTTTTGGCTCTTTTTTTTATGTTATTCTTCAATGCGCTCTCAGTGAACTGAAGAGCTTTTCACATTCTCTTTTGAGCGTTAGTGTGAGGTTGTTGCTGTAATTTTGTCCGCCTTCACTCAAATTTTACTGTTTGTTTTGTATGCATTTATTTATGGGTGTGTGTATGTATGTAGCAACACCAGCAATTGATTTTCGCACACACTCTTACCTTGCGTTTGTCGCATACTGTGACATGTGTATGTGTGGGCATCATTTTTATGGGTAGACTATTTAAATTTGACTCGCCTGCTTGCAATTTCTACACTTGCTTACACACACAGACTTGGCTTGTGTGCAAGCCTACATACATACATATGTGTGTGTGTAAGCTTGTGTGTGCTTTCATATTTGTCCACGCTCGAATTCTCTTTGTAATTCGCTCTCCTTTTGCTGCACTCATCAAATAGCGGGCGGCTTTACAATATCTCAATTCAGTTGCAAAAAGTACAGTTGGCAGGAAACGTACGATAACGAGTGAGTAAAAATAAAGAATTAATTTAAAGTGGACAATGTAAATTAAAAACAGGGTATAACAAACCCGTATTGAATGTCCTACATTAAATACTCTTAAAAGCAATATTTGCTCAACTGGAAAAAGGAACGGATTAAAATTAAAACCGCAGTCAAAATATAAAACTTAGTAGTCCAGGTTATTTTTGATCTATTTGGTATTAAACTGTTATTCAGTCGAACTATTCATACTGTGAATTCATGTCGAATATTCTTTTTTCTCTTTGGAGAAATATCAGATAAAATAAATTTAATACTTCATATAACATTTCTTTTTTTTGAGAAAATATGTTGGACTTTTACTATATGCTATATTCGGCGCCCTGTCGCTCCATTCTGATGTTGGCGCAGGCTCTGGGCATAGAGCTGAACAAGAAGCAAGTGGATCTGGATGCAGGAGATCATTTGAAGCCCGACTTTCTAAAGCTGAACCCACAGCACACGATTCCCACATTAGTTGATGGCGACTTTGCGCTGTGGGAATCGCGTGCCATACTGTTATATCTGGTGGAGGCCTACGGCAAGGATGACGCCTTGTACCCCAAAGATCCGAAACAAAGGGCCGTCGTGAATCATCGTTTGTTCTTCGATCTGGGCACATTGTACCAGAGCTATGTCTACTACTACTATCCTCAATTGTTTGAGGATGTCAAAAAGCCAGCTGATCCTGAAAATTTTAAAAAAATTGAAGCAGCTTTCGCCGCGTTCAATACATTGTTGGAGGGCCTCAAGTATGCAGCTGGCGATAAGCTCACTGTGGCCGATTTCCCGCTCCTAACAACCGTTTCGACCTTCGAGGTGACTGGCTATGATTTCAGCAAGTACAGCAATGTAACCAAGTGGTATGAAACAGCCAAGAAAGAAGTGCCCGGCTGGGAGGAAAACTGGGAGGGCTGCTTGTATTACAAGAAATTGTATTTGTCGGAGCTATAATTAGAGTGCCAGATAATCCAGAGTATATGTATATATAAAATAAGATATGAATGCCATAATATTATATAACCTCGTATCTGAAATAAACAAAAGTCAACGACTTTTCAGACCCTATCTTATCACTATTCATTTGTTAGAGCACTGTGAGGGCAAGTGCTGATACCAGAGAATACACTTTCGCGATAAGATACTGAATTATCTATCTTTACATTGATACACCTCCAATTGCCTTAATGTGGGGCTTGAGCTGAAAACATGGCAACAAGAAATTAGTTGAAATATGTGACACTAATTGCTGAGTCACTAAACTTGAATTTTGTTATTTTGCCTAGCTAAGCTGCTATCTCTTTGGATATATTAATAATTTCGTCAATTATCACCTGACCTATACCTATACCATTATACGCTACCTCTATTGGTATAGCTATAAATATATGCCTAAATACTGAGCCCAGCTCAGTTGCCTCAAGCTCTTTGTTAGAAAAACTGTGTGGGGAGTGGAGGCCCGATAAAAAAAGAAATAGAAAAAGGTAAAATTATAATACTTTATTCGATATACTGTTACGTAATCTAGGCAAAGAAAGTGATTAACATGAAAATGAATGATGAGCCGCTTGACTGGGTTTCCTTTGTTTCTTTGTTTGTGCGCATTTAGTGACAGCTCTTGATGAATACGAATACGTATAGGTATTGTATTATATTATAGCTCTAGCAATAGCTCTAGCAATAGCAATGGACTTGTATTATCGACCCGGATCTGCGCCGTGTCGGGCGGTCATTATGACGGCCAAGGCAATTGGCATTGAGTTTGATAAGCTGATTTTTATCAATACACGCGCTGGGGACCAATTCAAGCCGGAGTTCCTGAAGGTGAATCCACAGCACACGATACCCACGCTGGTGGATAATGGCTTTGCGCTGTGGGAATCGCGTGCCATCATGGTCTACCTGGCGGAGCGGTATGGCAAGGGTACGCCGCTCTATCCCCCCAACATTGAGCAGAGGGCGTTGATTAACCAGCGCCTGTACTTCGACATGGGCACGTTGTACAAGAGCTTTGCGGACTACTACTATCCGCAGATCTTCCAGCAGCAGGCGCCCAATGAGGAGCAGCACAAGAAGATCGAGGCGGCCTTTGAGCTGTTGGATGGCTTTCTGGCGGATCGGAGCTATGTGGCCGGCGATTGGCTGACTCTGGCCGACATCTCGATTTTGGCCAGCGTTTCGACCTTCGATGTGGCGGGCTTTGACCTGAGGCGTTACGGCAACGTGGCCAGGTGGTACGAGCTGGCGAAGCTGAACACACCTGGCTGGCACGCCAACTGGGCCGGCTGCCTGGAGTTCCAGAAATACTTCCAGAAATGAAATAGCTAGTATGATTCAATTAAAGAAAGCTTCGTTTATTGCACTTGGTTCTCTTAACTGTGAGGAGGAGAGCTACACGCTAAATTATTGCACTTGGTTAAGCTAAGGGCTAGAACAGGGAGTTCGATTTGCTAAACTCGAGCGGGCGTCGGAAGGACTGCTCCAGATTGTGCAGTCGCTGCTCCAGATCGTTCATCGAGTTGCGCAGGGCGTGGCCACGCGGACGCAACGAGATTTGCGGCGACTGCTGCACTAGATCGTCCTTGACGCCCGAGAAGGAGTGGCGCACGCAGGAGCGCTTCTCGAATTTGGTATTCTGATAGTGTGGATGCTGATGCGGATGCGGATGCGGATGGGAATGCGGATGCGTATGCGAGTGTGGATTGCCGCGATGCTCGCAGTTGCTATTGCGGCAATTGTGGGCAACCAGGGGCTCATCCGTCTTCAGCGAGTCCTCGTAGGTATCGCTGGAATGGGGCAAGCCAATAAACGGATTTAGACAATTGCCAAATAGTTAACTGAATGCAACCCACCTGCTGTCCGTGTGCGGCTGCTGGCGCAGCTCCAGGTGCGCCTTGGCATGCCTGGGACAGAGCAGCTCCCCATTGCTGGCGCCGCGCTGAAAGGAGTCCGGCGAGGTCTCGTACAGCTCCCGACTGCTCAGGAACTCCACGCCCGAGTCCTGCCCGGTGGAGTGCAGCGAGAACAGCGACGTCTCATAGTTGTTGCTGGCAAAGATCAAACGAAATTCAAGCAAGAATCAGACAGCGCTCTGGTCAAACTCACAGATTGTTCACCGGCTGGCAGGCGTTGTACTTGAGCACAAACGGAGCACCGCCATCGCCTCCAGTGGCCGCTGCTGCCGCCGCTGCCTTGGCAATGGACTTGGGCAGCGGCACATCAATATATTCGCGCTGGCATTGCTGCTGCCTGAATAAGAATGGGAATGGGAATGGAAATGGAAACTGGTTTTTCTGTTTATCTCTTTTCTTGCTCTTGTTCGCACTCACTCGTTCAGGTACTGATGATGCTGCTGCTGTGTGACCAGCGCCTGCTGCTGGTGATGCTGATGCAGCTGCTGTTCCAGTTTCTCGGTGGCCGCTGCCGTCGACTGCGTCTGCGCCGAGGAGCACAGCGATTCGTTCATGAAGGCGCTGGTCGGACGAGGCTGGCCGCCGTTGCCACTGCTGCCGCCGCCGACGCCGACGCCGACGGCGCTGCCCTTGTTGCAGCGCTGCGTGTGCCGCAGCTGCCGCTGGCGTCGCTGCTGCGAGCGAGTCTGGTTGATGCCAGCGATGGTATACGTGAGTCCGGCCTCCGAGGCGGCAAAGTCGCGCTGCGACCAGAGCTGCCTGCAAGCACAGCAAGATGAGAAGCTCAGATTTGTGGAACGACTTCGACAATCACAAATGCGTTTCGCATTCGAGTGGCACTTGTCAAACGATTCAGATTCTGATGAAGCTTAGCTTAATTACCAGCTGTTTAGGCTGTCGTTGTTGTTGTTGTTGTTGTTGTTGTGTAATGTGATTTTTTTTTACAGTTAGAATTCCAGCGGACAGGTGAGCTGCAGCAGTAGCCGGTTTAACCCATACAACCAACGAGCAGCAAGCAACAACAACAACAACAACGAAGCCATTTGATCAGCACTTAAAAAAGATTTATTAGATGGCCTTAGACTAAACTAAAGCAATATAAATGTGTATGTAGATGTATATATAAATATGTATGTATGTATGTATAGCACAAATGCATTCAAGTCTTTCTGTTACAGTTACAGGTTTTCTGCTGCTTAGTTGTGTTTACCGTTTCTGGCGCAGGCACAGGTAGCAGCAGGCCGCTGTGAGCGCGCCCAGGCTGAGCAGCGCCAGCAGCGCCAAGGTGAGAAATTCCAGTCCGCCCATCAGGCTGGCGGCGGAGGCGTGCGTGGGCCGTGCCGCCTGCCCGAACTCGGCCAATTCGAGGATGCGCGGCATCGTCTTGCTGCTGTCCACATGCTGCTGCTGCAGCTGCAGTGCGTCCAGCTGCAGGCCGGCCAGCGATCTAGATGACAGATTGGATAGATTGCCTCATTAATGGTTTGTGCATCGGCTGGCACGGGTTAATGACTTACTCCTGCAACTGCTCCATTTCCACAATGGCATTGCTGTGTGGGTCAACGGCATAGATATAGGCATTGGTGCTGGTGCATGGAAAGAGCGTAGAAGTAAGAGTAAGAAATTGATTGCTTATTGAGTATTGATGGATGTGACATGAGAGGGAGTTGCTAATAAATTAGACTAATAATAATTATATAATATAATAATTATATATATATTTTTAAAATTTTATCTATCACAATAAATAATAATTAGTGGAATACCTATATATTATTGCACAAAAATTCTATAAATAAATATATATAAAAGTAGTCAGACTTTTAAAAGCAAAATTTTATATCACAATAATTTTATTCATTTAGGTATTGTTTCTAAAAATCGATTTATATATATTTAAAAAAAAATTATATATAAATAATTTAATTTATTTGGTTATCATTCCACAATAAACCTATATAAAAATTTTATATATAAGTAGTTAAACTGCTTGGTAGTCGTTTTATTTATTTATTAATTTTTTAGATTTTTTATATAATATTAATAATCTAATTATCTTGACTTTCATTGTACAAATGTTGAGAGAGAGAGAGAGAGCAAATGATTAGAAGGAAAATTTGAGCAAATACATTTCGATGGAATTTCTTTGAATGGAAAGTGCATTTTGTAAATCAATTTAGGGTTTTGACTCTCAGCATGTGAGAATATAAGAGAGTGAGAGTTTGAACTGGTGTAACGAAAATAATAATTAGTATATGTGTTATCAAGAAAACTAGACGAAGAAGTCACTGGAGTGGGGTGGGTATGAGATGATGAGGTGAGATGACCACTGCCAACGAATGTAACTCTCTGATATACACAAAGTTGCACTACTTATAAGCCCCTCTCCAGAGGCCCTGAGGGCTACACCTTAACAATATCTAATAGTAGATTTAAACGTGCTGCTACTTACGCCACTTCGCTGCCTGCCGAGTTCGGTTCGAGTAGGCGCACGCGCACATCCTTGCCAATGGCCGAGCTGAGCGCCTCCATCAGACTATCGATGCGCCGCTCCACATCCACGGGCATGCCGGCCACCACAAGGCGCACCTGCTTGGCCTCGTCTATGATGTAGACAAAGACATTGACGATGCCGCTGTGCCCGTCGTCGGCGCCCATGCGATCGGTGGCCTTCACATCGAAGCCGTAGATGCGCTCGTCCTGCGGCAGATCGGCCAGCAGGCGTATGTTGCCCGTGAGCTCGTCGATGCCGAAGAGTCGCGTCGGCTCGTTCAGCAGGCGATAGCGAATCTCTGCGTTGAGGCCCTCGTCGAGGTCCGTGGCAGTGACGCGTGTCACGTGATAGCCGAAGGTGGCGCTGCGCGGCAGCACAGCCACGATTGGCTGCCCGTTGCCCCGGAACTTGGGCGAGTTGTCGTTCTCGTCCGCAATGCGCACCACAATGCGGCACTCGTTGGGCGTGAGGCCCTCGACCCGCTCGTCGACCACCGGGTAGGCCACCTTGGCATAGTTGCGCGGCTCCCGGCTGATGCGGTCCGCTCGCACCCGGAGCTGGTAGCGCGCGATGTGCTCCCGGTCGAAGGACTTGAGCGCGTACAGCAGCATATTCTTGGCATCATACTCGAAGGGGGGATGGGCATCGGACTCGTCCAGTCCCTCCTCCAGCCAGAGCGACCAGCGATAGTTTTCGGCATTCAGGCCGGCGGTCAGATTGAGACGCATCACCTCAATTGGAGCCTCGTTGTTCTCGGTCAGCTGGACGTCATAGTATGTATGCTGGAAGATGGTCACATTGACTGGAATCTCTGGCTTGGGCGGCGGCGTTGGCTCCGTCACTGCCTGGCCCTGCAGATTGATGAGCACCACGGCCGTGGCCGACAGAGCCGGGCTGCCCAGATCCGAGGCAATGACAGAAACATTGAGGTGCTCGTAATCATTGTAGCCCCGTATATTGGAGACTGTGGTAATGGTGCCGTCGCGGGAGTCGATCTGGAAGACCGGCGCATGCAACCCCTGATGCAATATGGAGTAGAGCACCAGTCCATTGCCGTTGCCCACATAGTCCTTGTCGATGGCATTCACCTGCTTCACAAACATGCCCGGCAGAGTGCTGCGATCCAGGTACGCCTTGTAGATGGGCAGCATCAGGGTGCGATCGGTCACATCGGCTATGTACTTGACCGCCCTGGCCTGGTCGTCGTAGCCAATGAACTCGGGCCGATTGTCATTAATGTCCAGCACATTCACCTCCACGTCCACGCTGCTGGACAGACGCTGCATCGGCTCCGCATTGTCGCTGGCGATCACCTGGAAATTGTACTTGGCGCGCTGCTCCCGGTCCAGCTGCCCGTTGATCCTCAGCACGCCCGAGGCGGGCTTCACTGTGAACGGCAGGTGCTGGTCGCTCAGTGAGTAGGTGATGTTCGCATTTGCGCCGTAGTCCATGTCGATGGCCAGCACCTGGCCGAGCACGCTGTCCTTGTAGTCGCCCTCGGGCGTATCGAAGCTGTACCAGGACTTCTTGAACGCCGGCACGTGGTTGTTCACATCAATGACCGTGAAGCGCATGCACGTGGTATCCTTCAGGCCGTCTATGTCGGTGACACTCAGATTCAGCCAGATCTCTATGTTGGCCGCCAGCGGATAGTTGACCGTCAGCTCGCCGCTCAGCTTGTCGATGGCAAAGTGACGCACGGCTTGCATCTTAATCAGTGGCATGCCCGGAGCACGCTCCACCTGCTCGCCGCTAATCTCGTAGTGCAGCTGGGCGTTGCGACCGAAGTCCTCATCGCTGGCGCTCAGCTGCAGCAGCTTGGTGCCGATGGGCGTGTCCTCGTAGATGGCAAACAGTGGACACTTGACCGTAAGGGCGCGAGCCGTGCGACGGCGGGACTTGGCGCGGGCTATGACTCCTGCGCCTCCTGCAACTGGGCTGCTCTTCTCGCGCTCCGAGTGCAGCCTAGGCGAGCCGGGTATATGATAGGTGGGTGGCGGCAGCATCATGCCGTTGGCACCTGTTGGTGGCATCGCCATGCCCTGCGAGCTCTCCACAAAGTAGATCTCCATGTCCGTATTGTATTCGCGTATCTCCAGGCGTGAGTCCTTGAACACGGAAATGCGCTCAAACATCGGCCCATTATCGTTGACATCCGCCACGAGAATCGTCAGATGCGCATAGCCCGAGAGGCCTCCCGTGTCAGCGGCGATAATTTTCAGATTGTAGAGCTGCTGCTTCTCCCTGTCCAGGCCGCGCTTGCCAGTGTAACTGATGCGAAAGTAGGGGCCGGAGCTGAGCTTGAAGTTCGTCTGCATGAAGGAGTTGTGCAGCTCCTGGTACTTGAACTCCTCGTTCCACTGGTCGGTCAGGTTGAATATGTTGAAGGCGCCCGTGGTGGCCGAGAGCTTGTGCTGGCTGGCATTGCCTCCGGCGCTGCCATTGACATACTCTATGGAGAACTGATCGCTGTAGTCGCCCTGCAGCAGCACTCGGAACTGGGCATTGACGCCCTCGTCGGCGTCGTGGATCTGTACGGCCTGGTTCATGGAGAGCTCGGTGCCGACGGCGCAGTTCTCGTTGATTAGCCCGACGTAGGTGAGCGCATTGAACTTGGGTGCATTGTCGTTGACGTCGTCCACCTTGATGTTGACCTGGTAGATGCCCGCTCCACTCACCATGCCGGTGCTGTACTCCACAATGACCGTCAGCTCATAGCTGGCCTGCTGCTCGCGATCCAGGCCCGTCAGGGTCAGCAGTGTGCCATCCTCCGTGATGGTTATCTTGTTGATCACCTCCTGCTGGTTGGCTATGATGTAGCGCAGCTTCAGATTCGAGTCCCCGGCCAGGCGACGCGGCAATCGTCGCTTCGACTTGGAGCTGCGACTGCGATTTCGACTGCGAAAGCGGCTGCCCGTCGTGGTTAAATTTCCGCTGGTTGCGGCGGAGGAGAGCTCGCGGAAGGTGCCCAGCTCATTGTTGGCCACGTTCAGGGCGTTCTTGTAGAGCAGCTGACCAATGATGCCGCCCACCAGATTCTCCTCCACATGAAAGTTGATGATGTTCATATTGATTTCCCTTGGTGAAGAAAAGGGAGATATTGAAAAGATGCTGATGAGGAATGGGATGATTGACTACTCACTCGATGACGGGTCGCAGTGGCACTTTCTCGGGCTCAGGCTTGTTAACCACATGGATGGTCAGGTTCGTTATCAGCACGCCCTCGTCACTGAGCTCCGCTGAGGCGACTGTGGTTAGAGGCAGTGAGCTGCGTGATGAGATTAGCGGTTGCGAAGAGTTGGCGAATAGCTGTAAATGCAATTGCAATATATTTCATGTGCAAATCCTAAACTCTATTAGCCCTACTCACATAATTTGCCACCGCCTCAAAGTTGTAGATGTTCCTCTTGAATTCCGACAGCTCTCGTATGACTGTTATAATGCCCGATCGCTCCTCGATGGCAAAGGGCACGCCCTCCGAGTAGGTATGCAGCAGATCGTACATGATCTCGTCTTCGCCATCGTAGATCAATGTGGTGCGCACCTGACCCACCGAAGTGCCCAGCGGCGTATTGGCACCCACCCAGAACTCATAGGGAGCACCCACAAAATCGATTGCCTGATCATCGATCGTCGCATAGACTTCGATGGTAATCACAGCCAAGGAGAATCGACGCTCGGAGGGATTTGTGGGCTGATCGCTGGCCTCCACGAATACAGCAATGCGACCGCGCCGCAGCGGGCCAGCCACATAGATGGTGCCGTTCTTGCTGTCCAGTCGAAAGGGTATATAGCCGCTGCCCTTCGGTCGCTGCAGCTCGTAGAGCAGCTGGCCGTTGGGTCCCTCGTCGGGATCATGCGCGGCCACCCGCCCGATCTTGGTGCCCACGGGCGCCGTGATGGGCACCTTGAACTCGTAGAGATTACCGTGATCGAACTTGGGATTGTTGTCGTTGCTGTCGAGCAACGTGATGTCCACTCGCACCGAGCTGGGCCCGGGTTTCTTCAGATGCTTGTCGTCCAGGTAGGATGGATTGCGTTCCAGGGCCTCAACTTTCAGCTGAATGGATCTGCGTTGCTCGCGATCGAGCAAACGATCGTCACGCACTGTGATCCAGCCGGTGCGAGAGTCAATGCGAAATGCACCAGCTGAGGTTTCATTCTCGACCAAATTATAGACGAACTCGGAGTTTTCGCCCTGGTCACGATCAATGGCGTTCACCTGTAAGACGCTGAAGCCCGTCGGCAAATTCTCCACAATGGAAATGTTATAGAAGTCGGCCTCGAACTCGGGCACATTATCATTAAGATCAAGCACCTCAACCTCGATGCTAAGACAGAAATTATGGATAAAGGTATATTCAATAGATATAATGATTTATTTACCGTGCCAGCGCCTTCTTTAAAGGATTATCCTTCTGCCTAGCCTCCAGCTGCACCACAAAGGTGTTGCCCGGCAAACTCTCCTCCTCCAGATCAATCTCCTTCTGCAGATACATGACTCCATTGTGGGGATTCACACGAAACAGCTGACGTTCATTGCCCGAAATGATCTCGTAGACGAGCGTAGCATTCAGAGAGTCCTGATCAAAGGCCATGATCGGCGGCGCAAAGTACAGGGGTATGCGTATGGGCATGCCTGTCATGGGATAGAACTCGTTCAGCTTGGTGCGATAGACGCCCTCGGTGAACTTGGGCGGCAGATCGTCCACATCGCGCACATTGATGGTGATCGTTGTGTTGGCCTGATTGGCGGGTGTGCCGCGATCCCAGACGAAAATTGGCAACTTGAACTGTCGTATGCCATTGTCAAAGTCCAGCTCACGCTTGAGTATCAACAGCGGTCGGTGGGGACTTTTCAGTGCAAAGTACGGCCGGCCATCGGCGGACAGCTGCTCGGGAACAGTCGACATGCTGAAGTGGACCTCCGAGTTGGGCGTGTTTGGTTTGTCGCGATCGAAGGCCTGCACGCCCTCGAAGATGATGCTGTCCACGGGCGTGTTCTCATCCACGTCAACCACATAAGGCACATTCAGAAACTCCGGCGCATTGTCATTGACATCCTCAATGTAGACCGTGATGGACAGGTAGCTACCCTGTATATGCGAGAGTGAGGAGCAGGTTTTGTGGAGCAGTATATAGAAGGATAGCTGGGTATATAGATAAGGCTAGTAAGCTATACGCACCTCCTCCAGTTTCTCATGCTTGCCAGCGCAGAGTATGCGAAACTTGAGCAAGTTCTTGGGCACATCCCGATCCACCAGGCGCTCCAGGGAGCGGGCCAGACTGACAACCAGAGTCGTTGAATTGTATTCCGTCAAATTGAAGTACTTCTGATCGGCGCTGGCATCGACGCCCCTCAGTGCCACACTGGAGTGTGGATAGGCTTGCACCCGTAGGATTTCCTTGCCCACCTGTGCGTCCTCCCGCAGACGTATGAAGCGGACACCTTCACTTTCCGTTGCCACGCCATCTAGCGCGTGGAAAACGCAACTGCCCGAGCTCACTAAAGTGGAAAAGTTTTACAAATTAAATCATTAATACAAGAATAGATATAAAGAGAGATAAGCTGAGGTAGAGAGAGTGAGAGAGGTGCTGTTTGAGGTACGCCCGAAAACGTTGACAAATTATCAACACAAAATTGTTGTTTCTCTTTTATTTGGCATGCTAATTGCGCGCTGAGAACCGAAAACGGAAAAAATCTCGTAAAGCAACAATTGAAAATCTCCGCGGAGGAAACGTGCGAAACGAATCGCTGGGCCAATTGTTTGAGGAACTGGCCAAAAACTTTCTACGTTTGTCGCGTGGCTGGGCGCTGTTCCGCCCACCGACAGCCGAAGACAGCTGAGATTTTCATGAGCAGTTGCAACACTTTTCCACATGCATTCAACTGTCGCCGTTGCTGTTGCAGTTGCTGTTGCTGTTGCCATCTCTCATCTAGCAGCGTTTCAGTTCCCACCCTCATGACATAATTAGACAATGTTTTTTTTCTCTCTAGTATCTTACTTGCCCCCAACCAGTGCAGTGCAACACTGCAGTCGGTGCAACGAGTGACAAGCAACCACACAAAAGATGCGACGGCGCCACTCGGATTCCAGTTGGGCTCTGCCACTGGCTTACTGCCTCAGTGGCTGACTTTCTGACATTTTTTTGTGTGTGTTTTTCGGAACATCTAGTACACGGCGAGAAACTCGAATTTCAGTTGTCTTTCTGTCTGTTTGTCTCTAGGCTGCTTATTGTTGTTGTTGTAGTTGTTGTTGTCTTATTATTACTGGAGTGAAATCTTTGTAGTCTTTCGTAGGCTTTAGTTGTTGATTGTTAGTCTTATTTCATTTCATATACCAACTTGTTGTAGAGTATTTCAGATAACTGATCAAATGTGCAACGCCTAGATGGGAATGTCTACCAAGTTTATATATTATTTATATATTATCAGTATATATTTATGTATAATCAAAATAAACTGAAAGGGATGCCTATATCAAATCGATTTATTTCCAAAAATCGAGAACTATTTTTGTTATTTTTATATCGATTAAAAATGTTATGAAATATTAGTTATAAAATTATATCTCATACATTTTTAAAGCTAAGTTATATTTATAATTCATATTACTTGGAATTCTTAGATCGTGACTGTTTAGCTAGAATGAAGCTTTTGTTGGCCTTTTATGAAGAACTTTGAATATAATCTTATATTTTCACATATATATATGCAATAGTATATCCCATCAGATATTCTGCTCTCCTCATATATGTGACACTATCTCAAAATTCAGTCTCTTCTATCAAAGCCAAGATCTCTCAACAAGAGTATTTCCACTTCGGTCTCTTATTCTCAACTTTTATATTTATATCTTCAAGTTATTGTTGTTGTTGTTGTCGTTGCTGTTGCTGTTGCTCGCAGTCATTGCAATTTGAGCTGCAGTTTCTATTTACTTGCAGTTTCTAGCTCGTTTTGGTGTGAACTCAGATTATAGCCAGGGCGCACATCCATATACACATGCCAACGCATACAAATATGCACACACATAAATGCATATAATATGGAAATGCAGCATTGCAATTGTGCCACAAGATGTGATTGGGCCGGAAATGCAGTTGGTATAAGCCAAAGGGGCGATTTCATTGTCTTATGCGAATGGAGCCAAGATTCAGAAAATGAAATTTGCATTTGCTGCACTCTGGGATATGGGAGAAATATTTATTGGCTACGCATCTAATATGCGAGAGGTGGAAGGGCAGAGTTTTTTTTTTTTTAATTACAGTGGAGCATAGGAGATATATTCTTTATATACATAGTTATATGTATATTTTATATATTCCAAATATTTACTCAAAATTTATTTGTTGTATTCCCTTTTGTCCTTATACTTCACTCATATATTTAGTCGATATTCATTGCATATATTTTATTTATACTTCTTGAATAGGTTAACAAATTGCGTGTTAAGCATTTGCTGTTAGGTAAACCTATTTGGTAGATCCAAATGTTAAGTAAGCTTAAGCTTCATTAAAGCTGATGTCGTTACGTGGCTGTACATCATTAAGAAAATGTTCTTGGGCTTGCAGTGCTGCTGAAAAAATCCTCAGCTAATGATGTTTCCTTCTCGGTCTAGATTTATTATTTTTAGATTTCTATAAACCTGAATTTTCAAAGAACTGGGTTACAATTTGGTACACGAGTGATAAGCCTAAGGCCTCAAGCTTTATTCAGTAAAAGTATGAAGAATACTCTCAAGGTTCTTTGCTTGACAATAAGTATGATAAATTAAACAAGTAAGAAAGCTCTAGTCCAGACTGCTCGACTACGAGATCCCCTGAACCCTACAAGCAACTGATATTTCAATAA